TGCAATTATTATAATTAATATTATCCAAGATGGCAACATTAAGAACCAGAAAAAAGGGGGGGGGGAAGAACTTAGGGGACTGGGGGGAAGGCCTATCTGAATAACCATGTTTTTAGTTGGTTTTTGAACACACCCAGCGAGGGTGCTGGCCGAATTTCAGTGGGAAGTGTGTTCCACAGCCGAGGGGCAACTGCCGAGAAGGCCTGGTTTCTAGTTTTCTCCTTCCGGGCCTCCCTCGGCCTCAGTCCCCTCAGCCGTCCCCGCTGGCTATGCCGGGTGCCTCAGGTAGCTTTATTTTTTCCTTTTCATTTATCCTAGGTGAAAGGCAGTAGGTATTCTGAATTCCACTTTGGGCATGGTAATAGGCTGTATATTAGTTAAAGCAAAGCAAAGCAAAGCGTGCTGCTTATATACTGCCCCATAGCGCTTCAAGCACTCTCTGGGTGCTTTACAAGGCTGCACATTGCCTCCCCCCCAGTCAGCTGGGTACTCATTTTACCGACCTTGGAAGGATAGAAGGCTGAGTCAATCTTGAGCCGGCTACCTGGGATTGAACCCTGGGTCGTGAGCACAGTTTTAGTTGTAGTACAGCAGTTTTACCACTGCACCACGAGGCTCCAAATAATATTGAATCCAAATAATATTGAAGCGCTTTTATTGAGTGGTTAATCTGCTCAGCTGTGTGCCATTCAACCTAAAAAACAGTTCATAGTTTGTGGGTGTTCTTTAATCCAGCACTGTTAGAGACCCAGGTGGCTTCAGTGTTTCAGATTGCCTGTCATCAGTTTAGGTTGATATGCCACCTGTGACACTATCTAGACACTGACAGCTTTGCTACAATTATCCACACTCCACTACTCTACTCTACCTTCCCCACCCCAGATCAGGGCAATGAATCAGACATTGGGTTCTGTTTTGGAAATGGTCTGGCAATTTTGGTAAGTCTAAAACAGGACAGAGAAACTGTGAAGTTGGATTGGCCATTACAACCCTATTTTGCCAATGCTCTATCCTTTATGCTAGTTTCCAGTTAACCGCTGGGCCTGTCTCAAATTGCTGGAAGCAATTTTAAAGCCCTATTACTCTGGCAGTGCTTTTAATTGTTAATTTAAGGCCTGAATACTTGAAGCAGAATGTTTTTCTTATATACTTATTCAAATGTCATAATGGGCACAAGTTATCTCAGATACCACTTCTCCCCTTATGAACCTGCCCGGGTGTTAAGATCATTGGGTTAAGACCTTCCCACCACCCTCACCAGCCCAGAAGGGAGGCTTGTGATCATAGGTTCTAGTTCAGAAGCAAGTACACGCCATACATCTGACATTTGTGCTTCCTTTGTTTTGACTCATCAGCAGGCATATTAACTCAGTAGAGATTAGCCATAAATAGCAACTTGGAGTTTCAAATATGGTATCTTTCCAATAGGCTTACTTGACAGTTTGACCCCAGCAGAATTACTCAGGACTAATAAATAATTTAAACAGACAGAAATGCATTTACAGAGTAGTTTTGTTTGCATTTGTAATAACTTAACAGGCTCATCTTATTTGATTCTTTGTGTTTATTAATGTGTTTATTATTTCCAGCTTATGGCTAACCCTGATAGAGGTTTTGAGGTATGTAAGATATTTAGTTAGCAGTTTATCATTGCCCTGTGAGTCTTCATGGTTGACCGCATATTTGAACCCAAGTCCCCTAAGTCTCAGTCTGATATTACCTCCTACATTGCACTGGCTGTTGCAAACTTTGTTTAACAAATATTACATTTGTAATAGAGTCATGTCACGCACAGAATGCCTATTCAACCAAAAAATAAAAAATACAGCAATCCAATACATGTTTTCTATGGAGTTACTCAAGGGCATTTCTTTCTGAGTAGACACGTACAGGATTACATTATATATCCCAAAGTATTCAAGGGCCTTACTCTCAAATCAATGTGCATCAAATTACAGCCTTCAAGTTGTCTATTCTACAAACCTGCTTACAAATATGATCAATAGCCGGGGGCAATTTATTTTAAATGGGCACAATTTAAATAATTCCCAGTATAACATTAAGAATCCATGTTTTGCAGTATTTCAATAGTAAAAGGCATGTGAAAGCAAAGGTTACTTCTATGCACATTACAAGAAAGCTACTGCTATTAGAAGCACATGCCCTACTTCATTCTGCAAGTGTTAAAACCTGTATTGAAATATTGAAGCGAGTACATGGAAAGCCTACAAAAATGATTTGAAGACTGGGAAATGCATAGTAAGCAAGAAGAGTGGTGCACTTCCTGATGCTAAATCTGGCAGTGGTGGACATGATAAACTGTACATAGCACTTTAGCCCTTTTAATGTAACAATAACGGACAAAAAATCTTTATGTTTATTAATGAAACCACATCAAAGTAAGCTGGGAAACAACATTTATCATCCTTATGAAACCCAGCATGTTTTAGTCTCCTTAAGATTCAAAGGGATAGAAGTAAGCCCTAACAACAAGCATTTGTATAAACATGTCAAAGTATATGCACATTCAACTAATTGTACTCTGCATTAAACAGCCTTATACTGTATACTTATGTTAAAAGATGCAGTCTGCACAAATTTGCACTGGGAGTATCCAGACCAGCGCAGTGGTGACTAACACAAGGGAACGGAAGGGTATGAATGTTAATTTGACTGCAGGAGATGTATGTAACTAGACCATGACAATTAGATGCAAGGACATTCTAATCCGAACATGCCAGAGATGGGAAAGGATTTTTTTCCTGAAAAATTCCAGATCTTCCTTTTAGAAGAGTAGAATTAAAATCCAAGTCCTCAATTAGACCTGAGCGGGCCGGAGTCTTCAATTTTAAGTACCCTTCTATTTCCTTCACTCAGTAGAATTTAATTGTGTGTGTGTTATGTGCCATCAAACCGACTTACAACAACACTAATAGAGGTAAGTGAAATACTTAAGAAGTGGTTATTTGTTTGTTTGTTTGTTTGTTTGATAGAGGTAAGTGAGATACTTAAGGAGTGGTTATTTGTTTGTTTGTTTTTTTGTTTGTTTGTTTATATCCCGCCTATCTGGTCGGTTAAGACCACTCTAGGCAGCTTACAGCATAAAAATACACAATATATATAAAAAAGGTTTTTACATAATAGGACACATTTCAATAAGATGGGGCAAACAGTGGGGAGAGGAGGAAAAAAAATTAGGAATTGACTGGAGGGAAGGCCTGCCGAAACATCCATGTTTTAAATTGATTTTTAAAGATACCCAGCGAGGGAGCCACGCGAATCTCCAGAGGTAGGTTGTTCCAGAGGCGAGGAGCCACCACCGAGAAGGCCCGATTTCTTGTCTTTTCCTTCCGGGCCTCCCTCGGCGTTAGGCTCCTCAGCCTCACCTCCAGACTCGCACGAGTGACACGGGTAGATCTTGGTGGGAGTAGGCGTTCCGCCAGGTATCGAGGCCCTAAACCATTTAGGGCTTTGTACGTAAGCATCAACACTTTGAAGTCGATGCGGAACCAGATGGGCAGCTAATGCAGCACGGCCAGAGTGGGTAAGATGAGTTGGTATTTTTTCACTCCACTAAGTAGTCTGGCCGCTGCATTCTGCACCACCTGGAGTTTCCGCAACAGCCTCAAAAGCAGCCCCACGTAGAGCGCATTACAGTGGTCTAATCTTGAGATTACGAGCGCATGCACCAAGGTAGTGAGCGCCCCCACATCAAGGTAGGACCGCAGCTGGGCTATCTGCCGAAGATGAAAAAAGGCAGTATGGACCACCGACGCCACCTGAGTTTCCATAGTGAGCGCCGGGTCAAGATGGATCCCCAAGCTGCGGACCCCATCCTTGGCGGGAAGAGTCACCCCCCAAAAGAGAGGGAGTTTCCCAGGCCCCCAACTGTGGGGGCGCCCACCCTCAGTACCTCCGTCTTGTCC